AGAACACATGAGTAGTGTAAAGAATGTAAAATGCGGGATACCCCAAGGCACAGTACTTGGCCCAATTCTGTTTAATATATATATTAATGATTTATTATCATTAAATAATAAGGGGCAGGTACTTAGCTTTGCCGATGATACCGTTGTTTTCTATTCGGCAGATACGTGGAAGGACTTAAAGGTATTAGTTGAGGATGACTTAAAACTCCTTTTTAATTGGTTTGATCATAGGCTTCTTACTGTTAATTATAATAAAACACACTTTTTATCTCTAACAAGTTACGAAAACAATCTTCCTAACTATAATACTCTAAACATAATATATAATAGCAAAAATATTGAAATTAAATCAGAAAAAAAAGTTAAGTATTTGGGTATCACAATTGATTGTCACCTAAGGTGGAATCATCATATAAATAAGGTAGTTAATACATTAAGAACATTTCTATATAAATTTAAATATCTTACAAATATCCTGGATTTACCTTACCTAAAAATGTTATATTATGCTTTGGTGGAATCGAGAATAAACTATGGAATCATTGGCTGGGGTGGAGCAACTAATGTTTATCTAGAAAAAATTTAAACTATTCAAAAATTATTCTTAAAAATTATTTATAAAAAAAATCGTACTTACCCCTCGGACCAACTATACAAAGAATTAAAAATATTAGATCCTAAAAAACACTTTTTCCTTAAAATTGCCAACTACTACTATAAAAACCCAACTAGCCTTAATATTGTTACTCATGAACACGAAACAAGACGAAAAAACAAAATTAAATATAAAGACTTAGCATCTCGCAAAACTGTAGGCCAAAAATGCCACTTCTTCTTAGCATCAAAAGTGTTAAATTATTTACCTCCAAAAATTCTAAAATCAAAATCATTATCGCAATTTAAAACAAGAACAAAAAAATTTCTATTAGAAGAATATAGAGCAAATATCAGAAATATTATTGATATGAATATCGATAGATAAATGAAAAATAAAAAAAGAATAAAAAAATTTATTAAAAAAAAAAAATAAATAAAATAAAAAATAATGAAAATTAAAAAAAAAAGGGGCAAATTTCTCTATTATTATTATTATATGTCAGTATTTGTATTATATTAATTAATTGTAAAATAAAACATAAAATAGTACTTAACATATCTCTACACACGCCACGGACAGTTTTTATACTTTGTGGCAATGGGTAGTTTATTTGTATGTACCTAAAAAAAAAAAAATATATTTATATTATTAAAAAAATGTATTTAAAAAAAAAAAATTATATTTAATTTTTTGTACATTTTTCAAATAAACTTTTATTATTATTATTATTTTATTATTATGTTCTATAAAACTATGGTAAGAAGCATTTTAGACTACGGCAGCAATCTATATGATTCTGCAGCCAATGTTCATTTAAAAAAAGTTGAATCGCAAAAAAATAAATGCTTCAGAATAAGCCTAGGATATCTTAAATCTACCCCAGTAAACATCATGGAAGCCGAAGCTATTGAATCACCACTACAACTCAGAAGACAATACATAAGCCACAAACTTATAGCCAAAGCAACTTCAAGAAACGCAACCTACCTAAACTCCATTCACAGCCTTTCAATATTAACCCTAACTCATCCATATTGGCGAGCTAAAACGACCTCTCTATTTGTAGAAAGTTATACCTATCTGTCAGACTTTAGAAGTTGCATTTATTCCAACAGCACACTTCCATATTATTCAGAAGATCTACATGTCATTTTTTCCCATAAAATACTGACTTTCCAGATTAACACAACAGAAAACTTTATTGAAACTATAAACTCGAAATGACCTGGATATCATTATATACATATATACAGAAGGCTCAAAAACAGATCTACAAACAGGCTGTGCATTATATGAATCAAATACCAAATATTTAGACAAATTTAAATTACCAGAGAAAGCATCAATATACACGGAACAATTAACTGCAATATTAAATGCATTTAAATACATATCCAAAAACAAAAGCCAAAACCATATCATCTTTACAGACAGCAAAAGTGCTGTTGAAAGTATTAAAACTTTATGTACCACACCAAAGCTAACACATATAGAAACATAAATTTTAAAACATCACTTTGAAATTTGCTATCAAAAGAAAACGGTAATCATAGTGTGGGTAAAAAGACATTCAGGTAAAATCAGCACTGACTACAGGAAGGGATTTAACCACGAGTTGTATCCCGTACACTGACCTAATAACAAACTTTAAGAAAACTCTCAGGGATACATTTCAAGCAAAATATAATGCATCAACTACAGGAATAAATTTCATGAGTTGCCTAGAAAAAATTCAAACTGTAAGATGGTTTAAAACCATAAGCAACAGACATTTTATCATAACTATCAATAGAATAAGATCACAAGATGCCCTCACCCCAGTATTTCAATTCAGGTTTGGCATATCGGAAAACCAGCTTTGTAGATGTGAAAAGATAGGAGATCTCAAACATATGATTATGGAGTGTAACATCCACAGAGACAGCATTGATAAATTGTATAGATATTTAATAAGAAATAATTTAAAGTTACCGATAAATCTTAACGAGATAATATTCTCGAACAATTTGGATATTTATTCGTGCCTATACAAACATGTAATACGCTGTAAAATGAAATTGTAAACTACTAACATAATATGTGTGAGCAATTTTGACAAATAAATAAATAAATAAATATGTAAGTGTATAGACGAAAAAAATAAAAAAAAAATAAAAAAAAATATATACAGGGTGGCTCACGCTCAACGGGACGGAGCTTTATGGGAAAACGACCAAAGATATAAAAAATTCGTTTGGGAGGAATACGTAGGTTACAGACGGCTACAATTTAAAATTTGTTAGATGTATACAGGATGTCCCACATAAGAAAAAAAAATTAATTCATTAAAAATTATTCAAACAAGAGTAAACAATTAATTTCTGGGAGACTTTTTTTCCTTAAAAATTCAAATAAATCGAAAACTAATAATAATAATAATAATAATAATAATAGTAATAGGGAACCTTTAGTTAACTGACATTATTTTTGATGTAGTTTTTAATTCTAAAATAAAAAACAGGGTGTTCCATTAAAAATAATATAACTTTGTATATTTTCTCTTATGTGGGACATCCTGTATAAATCTAACAAATTTTAAATTGTAGCCGTCTGTTTTCCCATAAAGCTCCGTCCCGTTGAGCGTGAGCCACCCTATATATATATATATACAGGGTGTTTCCGAACTTGGCGTCCAAATTTGTAGGGGTGGTAGTTCGCATAATTTGAGAGCGATTGACAGATTTCATTTTTCTAAAAAAAAAAAAAAAAAAAATAATAAACAAAATAGAGCCATTATAAAAAATCAAAGAGCGGGTCCTACCCTGAGCGCGTAGCGCAATAGTCGCCTGATCGGTTACTCACCGGGATTTATAACTCAAAAACAGATGCGATTTGCAATTTTGTCGATTCTAAGCAAACTTACGGAGAACTCGATCGTAGCGCGTGCGAGTCGAGGCCGGCGCCCCCTCGCTGTGTAGGACCGTATCGGTTTAAAATTTTTAATTAATTTTTAATTATTTTTATTTTAAATATTTTGGAAAAATGAAATCTGCGATCGGTCTCAAATTATGCGAACTACCACCCCTACAAATTTGGACGCCAAGTTCGGAAACACCCTGTATACGTAAATAAAAAAACATAAATAAATGTAAATAAAATAAAATAAATAAATGTAAATAAAAAAAAATATGTAAAAAAAATGAGAATAAAACAAAACAATATCAAACCCAAAAAAAAAAAATAAAAAATAAACAATTACACACAGTTTTACTAACCACTTAAACCAACAATTGTATCTCATTGAACAAAATGGGTACAAGTAAACACGTAAATAAATACATTTTAAAGGTAAAAAAAAGTCTGGCTAATTGGTCTCTGCCAAAGCCAAAAAAAGGCTGTTACCGTTATTTTTCGGTTCCTTCGGGCAAAATTTGCCATATACTGGTCTTCCCTCTTTGATGTCACTCTGGGTCGACCAGTCACCGTCCTTCGTACAACACTGCCCGTTTCCTGGAAAAAGGCCACTATGCGCCTTACCGAGGTCCGTGAAATATTCAGATGACTCTGGTGATTTGACAAATCCTCTTGATGTAAGGCCTCTATTCTTGCCCGGACAAACAGAGATCGGATGACCTAGCATTTTATGACAAATTTACTTGATACCTTAATACTCGATATCAGCTTAGAATTGATTTCTTTTCAAATGGTGCATATTATCGGACGAAAACAATTTTTTGCTTACAACCTGTTGTGTTTATGTATAATAAGATATATAATATATATTACACAAAAAATAATCACCTTACATTGACCACGGTAAAAGTTACCAACAGGGGCCAAGACTTTTGGAGATGTGTGTAGTTATACAGAATCATGACTTACTGATGCAGAATTTTCTTCGACGGTTAATTTACCGCTACAAATAGCTTTTATGAAATTTTATTAAAATCAACAGTCTTCATAAAAAGGGAAGGTTGAGAATGATTAGGTTACCTAAACTTATCAACACTATAATTAGGTACAGGTGTCCAAATGAATACGTATCAAATACTTACTTTATGCTCCGGATAACCCATATTTCTAGTTCCAGACACTAATAACTTTTAAATACACACCTGTATAGATTATGTGTCCCCTAATTCTTCTTTTCTAAAACAAGTTAAATGATTTTACAGATTATTTTCCAATGAAAGGCCAACTTGTTAGCTGATGATGGCCCGAGAACATTAGCAATTAAAAGCTTTTTGACTTTTACCTAATACAGTTACTTACCCTTCATAATGCCATCATCACTAACGAAAGGCCAACAGTAGGCTTTTAGATTTTAATCACCGCATTCATTTTCCCTTCGATTACACCAATATCCTGAAAATTCATTGTTTGTTGAGCTGCTTTTTTATCGTTAATAATAGTTTAATCGTAGGTCAAAGCTGATGGAGAGATAATAGATTGTTTGAGTACTCTGAAGAAAGACAACACTGGATACCATCTGAAACATTTGTTTATTGGATCTGAGGGAACTTTAGGAATTGTGACAAAAGTGGCCATACATTGCCCTTCAAAGCCAAACGCCATCAATGTTGCCTTTTTAGGTAAGTAAAAAACTAATTTAATTTGTTTAATATTAATTGCTTACTAATATCATAACAATTTTTATATTTTAGCAATAATACGAGTATGTTTTTAATTGTAGGCTTGAAATCATTTGATGACGTCCTGAAAACAATGAAACAAGCTAAACAACAATTGGGAGAAATACTCTCCTCTTGTGAACTAATAGACGAAGCCAGCTTAGGCTTGGCAACTGGACACCTACAATTGAAGTGTCCATTAGGTGTGTACCCGTTTTATATGCTTATTGAAACGCATGGTAGCAACAACGAGCATGACGAAGAAAAAATGAACACGTTTTTGGAGAGCATTATGGCGGATGGTCTTGTCGAGGACGGAACAACAACGAATGAAGTCAGCAAAATGAATGTAAGAAACTGTTTAATACTATTGGGTATCTTTTTGTTTCCGTTAATCCTCCTTTTATATTTATTTTTTTAGAATATTTGGGCCTTAAGGGAACGAATTACTGAAGGTTCGACTCACGAAGGATATATTTTTAAATATGACATATCTCTTCCTACCGAAAACTTCTATTCTTTGGTTCCTATTATGAAAGAAAGAATGGGAGAATCAGCTAAAGTGGTTTGCGGTTATGGACATATAGGTATAATGTTTGTTTTAATTATTATTGACAATCATATAAGTATACAATAATAGTAATACAACTTCAAAATGACGCGACGAGAATGATATTTCTAAATTTTAACATTGACAGTAAAATAAAAATGACAAGAGGCATGTTTATGAAGACTAGAGATAAGGAGGCGAATCGGCATGCTCAAAATACGGTCCCAAAAATCACACGTCAATTGAGCTTTTATAATTAACCACATGGGCGCTGGTACGGTTTACGTAGATCAAAATACATGGCTTCTTATAGGAATTATACTTAATTTTGTGAAAATAATAAAAATAAACTTGTTTATAGCTAAATAAAGCACAGAACATACTGTTGTATTTATTTTTAAATAAGTCTTACATATTTTAATTGATACATTATTTACTATTTATTCCTATTTAAGTAAAATGCAAATTATTGATGATAATTATTTTTTAATTAAAGCTAAATAGGGCTGAGGGCATACTAAGACACGGTTTAAATGAAAATATTTAGTTAGGGATTTTACAAAATTTTATGAAAATAATAAAAATCTAATTGTTTATTGCTAACTAAATCATAGAAAATACTGTAGATTTTAATTATTGTAAATAAGTCTTTGTTTTAATTGCTAACTAAAGTACAGAAAATACTGTTGGTATTAATTATAAATGAGTCTTTATGTTAAACATTATTTACTATTCATTATTTAATTTTATCTAAATAAAATGAAAATTAGGTATGACCAAATTTGAAAAGGTTTCTTAAATGGTGAAATTTGGTAAGTACAGTTTTGTGGTAATTTTGTATTCGACAACTACAATTTCACATTCTGGTGAATAGTTTCTTCAGTAATAAGTTCTAGTATTTTCTTCCTATTTTTATTATAACAAATTCAGTTCGGTGCAATGGTGGTTTTCGTCTTTTCCTAATACTGGACAAGTATGAAGGGAGATTCGGGAATATACATGGTATTGCTTCTTTCTTTAATCTCGGCCTTTCCCTTTTTATTTTGTTAAGAGTACCATTAGTTAAAATAGTCTCATCAAATTTTAAAATATCATCCTCTAAAAAGTGTAGCTCGCAAACATAATCATAACTAGACAGTACTTTATCAGCCCTAGGAATCACATGCTGCCATTGTTCTAAACGTTTAGGATCCTATAAAAAATATTTGCAATGACTAAATTGGAGTTCAATAAAGAAAAATAACAGTAGTAACTCTTCATCTAACATCAAAAAACAAAAATAGCAAATTTTCTTTTCTAGTAAGTTAAATTTAATGTGTAATTATTGTTGTTTGTAAGTCAGGATTTATGACTTTATTATTTTTATTATAGAATTTTGTAATTAAATAAACTACACTCCGTAAAATACGGGTTGTGACTATTTTACAATAAATATATTATATTATTTAGAAATAAATACATTATTTTACTACTAGGAGCTTTAAAAAGACTTGGATTTTTATCTCTTTGTGTTTACTTTAATCTTATATCGGATTTATATCCCGTTTTTCAACCCGGAACGAAGCAAATCTTGCTTTTCCATTTTTTGTTACTCATTGTTACTTGTAGTCAGGTTCTTTATTTCAGCTTATTTTTATTCTTTTCACTAAATTTTACAAAAATCACTTTAATTCCCATTAACTTGCATAGAAAATAGACGTCGTTATTTTGCCACCCGCCAACTTCAGTAGTTTTTTGGAACTTCATAAAAATATGGACGGAAATTAGAAATTTGACCAAGGCCGATTCGCCTCCTTATCTCTAGTCTTCATAGGCGTGTTCTACAACTTGTTCTACAATTAGGCGATCAAATGTCCTGTCAGAATGGACAAAAAATGGCTGATGCTTGATAAAAACAAGAAAGTTTGTTAACCTGACTTTTTATTTAATATTTGACTATTATTGTAAATCATTGTTACGTTTATTTATTTTAAACAGTTTCTTGTGATTTATATTTAAAAAATTAATCGACTTGCCTTAAGGAAGATTAATTGTAATTTTCCGAGCTTGTCGTTGATACTCATCAGCACGTATTTTTTTTAGAGTAAACAAAATGCACCATATTCACTGCTCCTATCGTATACCAAACCTACATATCATTCCGTTGAAGTGCGAGTTACGAAAATCACCTTATATCTGGGAACTAAATATGTATCCACATTAGGGTGGGATGGGAAATAATTATATCTACGGACAAGCTCGGAAAATTACAATTAATCTTCCTTAAGGTAAGTCGATTAATTTTTTAATTTTCCTTCGCTTGTCCTTGATATAATTACATTGTAGATGTTCAGAGTAAGAAAAGGTGATTTTCTGAATAATTATTTATGTAAACATAAACTTAATTAATTAAACGAATATTTACATTTATAGCTAATTTTATAACTACTTACTAGCTAAAAAGTGAATGAGAATAATAAAATTATTGTATGATCACAATTTAAGAATAGGTCAAATAATTGATTTAATTTCCAAATCAATAATAGTGTTAGCAAATGTGTCATTGCGTTCCTTTATAGTTTCAAAATGTAAAAAATGTTATACAAGGTATCTAACCTCCGATATTTCTTATCTGTTCAATACTTACACCTACCCTAAATGCAGCAGATGTTAATGCGTGGCGTACACTAGTCAGTATGAGATGTTGCTCCCTGTTACGAAACAATTGTGTTTCCCTGATAATATGTCTCATCTTTATTCTATCAGAGTTTTTAATTTCTATCCTTTTTAACGATATATTGGTTTAATCAACATATTGATTTAGGGCACCTACTGTTAGAGACGTTAAAATTATCATGCTTCTCTACCTAAACTAATGTGACTGGCTAATTAATGCAATTTAGATATCACTGAGAATTAGCCAATTTCAGAACGAATATGTTCTTAATATATTCAATAAATTTTATTTCATATAAGTATTTATTAGCTTTATTGTACCCCTTCATAATATATTTCACCATCAGGAAGGCTTCGAACAATTTCCTGGGCACCAGGGAAATCTTATTGTGGCGTAAACGGCCCTTCTTAAAAGAAGAGATAAACAAACATAATAGTAAAAAGACAGGAAAGGCATAATATCCTGACCATTATCCAATTTAAGGTAAATGCATCCAGATTTTGGGACTGGAAACCATGAAATAAATCTTTTCTAATTTAATTTTGTGGCAAACAAATCTATTTCCGGATAATTAAACCTTTACAATATTGTTAAACACTTTCTCGTTTAATTTAAATCTATGGTAATTGACCTCTCTGCATTTGTGTTTGTTGTCTACGAGGCAAAAATTAAAATATGCCTCGCCTCACACAATTTCAATAGCTATAGCTTTTTTTTTGTCTGTAAAACATCTGAAAATATATCTCTCGAGAAAAGCTTGGACCAACATTTTTCTGCCATCATTCTAATTCTTGTAATAATGAATTTGGAATGATAATTTTCCTACGATTTTTAAGGTAATCTCCTTGAAGCGAAATATATTTTATTATTTCGAGAGATTTTATGAGTAAAATCGTCACTTCTAGCAGCATAAAAAGATACGAATTTACCTACTAATATCTTTGATACTGTGTTGATAGGGTTACACATCCAAGTGCTAACCGCATCCAACACGGCTTAACTATGGTTATCGGACAAGAACCGATCGTCGCACGATGACTTTCAAGCCTTCAAGTATGCTTTAAAAGGTACTTATCCGCATGACATTCAAATAAATTTGTTTTATTTTTGTTGTTTTCCATGTCCGTTTGTCTTGACGAGGTGGTTTGAGTACCACCTAACGATCTATTAAAGCGTTTATGAATTACTGTATAATGGCCGATGGGCCAATGTGCGTCGCCTTGGAAATTGTTTCTGATAATAGTATATCTTAATCTCTTTCTTTAGCTTGGGGTAACGGTCTGACGACCCCCTCTCTTTCTTCTTATCCTTCATTCTTCCATTGTACACTGTTATAATTTTTAATAAAATTTATTGGACTTTTCACACATGGTTCGATTGTTTTGAATAAAATGGTATTGATATTCCTTTAACTCAACTTAAGTCCACTCGGTCTTGTTTAATATTTTTACAAGCCTGTAATAAACCTAAAAGGCCCCTATTTCTAGCATGAGGTTGCAATGTTCTCAAAATTCCTCCAATTTTAAATGAGAGACATGAGCCGACATGGCATGATGAACATCGCTAAATAATTGACAGGCTTATGCCTAAATTTTATGATAAATCGGTTATGTTCCTGCGCTGGTTTTGGCAAGCAGGCTTGAATTTCGTTCTAGTTTTACCGTTAGCCGGAATTTTGTAATTATTGAAAAGTTCTTGTGCTGATCCCCTGGCTATACCATTTGACAAATTAATTCTAACGAACAACGATTTCTTCATAAAGAGTAGCATTGCAATCTGGTTGTATTTTCTATTTTTATAATAATTTACATTGATACCCAGAAGAATCATCAAGAATCGCTCGACTTTCTAATGATATGTTCTCTACGTCTATATTCTGCTTATTACCTCAAACAGTAGAACCAATAAAGACAAGATAATATTTTTTCGTCTTAATAAAATCGCAAATCGCTCGATTGCTTTTAAGTACCGCTAAGAACTTTAAGAGGAAAGATCCCACTGCATATAATTTTTATATTACACACAAAAAATCGCACGTATTTTTTTATTATTGTTTTAAAAGCATTTATTAGTCAAAGGAAATTAATAATTTTTTATTCAGAAAGGATAACAAACGTTCATCCCTGTATAAATCCATAGAAACAAAAAAATCATCAAGAATTGCTTGACTTCCTAATGATCTATATTTATGTAAGAATAGTAAACGTCTATTCTGGGTAATTCAAAAAGTAGGAACAGAAAAGACAAAGTTAAATGAGTATTTCGTCTCAAGTAAAATTGCTCGATTTCCTCTTAGAAAATACCACCCGGTATTTTAAAATACATTATTTTTGTATAGAATTACTGAAAAACCCGCATGATTTTTTCAGCATTTAGAAGGG